ATCTTTGTTGATCTATTTAAACCCCTTATGGAATGATTGCTTCTCAGAGGTGTCTACCAGATATAGCTGGTCTTTAGGTTTTGAGTCTCTAATGACTCTGAGGCTATCTCATTTTCATTATACCAGGAAGGAAAACTGTTTAGATCAATCATGACACCGTAGCCCAAGTCATACAATTAGCAACACCATGGCATCAAATACCTCTTAAAGAATGACAATTTGTGGTAGTTATTAATCTATCACCTTTACAAAATAAAGGGCCTCTTTCAGGGTGTGTCTCTGCTGTCACAATAGACAATGTGGGCAGCAGTGTGCAGTTATAAGTCAATGAGTCTCAGTAAGCTAGTGCCAGACCCATGAGATTCAGGAAGGTTTCTAGTTGCAAGTCCCAAGTTGATCTCCCTGTCCTCCTGCAGGGTTGCACTCTGCAAGTTTCTGGTGCAGGTTTCAGCTGCTTTTCCCCTGAAGAAAGTCCAGTTTCTTATGGGAGCTGATGATTCCTCCAACTTACCAATCACAGTGGTCTGGTGTGCCTTTATTGAAGAGATTCTCTTCACTTTTCCAGTGGGATTGTTTTCATCAGGGAGCTTGAGACAGGCACTCTCTCTGTTGTTCACTTCTGGAGCTCAGGACAATGGGTTTTGCTCCCTGTGCCTCTGCAGTGTGTAACCAAGTAGCTGAACAGCCAAAACGCCAGAGGCCAGGGGTGGGGGGAGTATTGTTGGAGGTACCCACATGGCCCAGCCATCAGCTGGTGGGCCTGCCCAGGGGGGCGGGGTCCTCCTCATCCTGTCCTGGTGCCTGGTGAAAAGCTGGTGGAGCAAGCTGCAGCAAGCAGGTCCCAGTCAGCCTGCAACTGCTAGGCCCCACTTGGCCCAGCCAGCTCTGTTTGGCCCAGGTGTCAGCTGGTGGGCCTGCCCAGGGGGGTAGTTGTGATGTTTTGAGAGTTCATAACTTAGCTTTTTTTTTTGGTACCAGGGATCGAACTTGGATCCTTGTGCTTGCGCAGCAGGTGGTGAAACCACTGAGCTAAATCCCTGGCCCAATATATATATATATTTTTGGTTATTTTGTTAGTTTGGTTTTTTTGGTACCAGGGATCATACTCTGACCCTTGTGTTTGTGAGGCAGGTGGTTGCACCACTGAGCTAAATCCCTGGCCTGAGGGTTCACCATTTAATCAATTATAACATTATGGAGTTCATAGTTCAGGGTTGTGGAGAAAGGCTTCAAAGAAATTTTTTTGTTGCTGCAATAATACTATTTATGTAAAGAACAAAAACTCCCAACTTATCAAAAGTTTATCTAAATATTGCTAGCTGTGTAAAGTAAATTTTTCATGCTCAAGTTTCATAATCATTATGTGGATGTATTAAATATTAACATTCAGTTTTGAGCAGTGGCACAGGCCATGGTCACAATCTCGCTGCTTGACACAGCTCCAGTGAAACCGAGACTATGGCTGAAACCATGACTCTGTCCTTTGCTTTCGCTTTCCGCGGTAGTAATTACCTCAGTGCTGTGCTCCCTGGGAAATCACTGAAAGGATAAAAGTCAGTACTTCAGAAATGGTTACTAGGCCGGGATTACAGGAAGAAATTGTAAATCCATTTACAGAAAAGCCCCTCACTCATACCTCCATGAGTAGTGGGGACGTGACATCCATATGCCCTGACTACACAAAGGGAGATTGGGACATCAACAAATTCATGACGCAGGCGCCCCACTCTCTGGCACCTGGTCACCCTTGACTAACACCAGCAGGGCACATAACAATGAGATCTGACAAAACTTGGCCTAATAAAGTAGCCTGACCTTTCTAGAATGCTTTCTGTTCCTTAAATGTAAATCTGATAAGTTAGCAAGAGTTCACGTAGCACCGGGAAGAGTATCTAGAACTGGGTGATCTAAAATAGTTTTTTAGGTGATATCAGCTTGCTCTTTAACTCTGTTTGAGAACACACTGTGTATGGACCCACATGCTTACCAAAGCCTTGTGTAATCAAAACATATATAAGTAAAGTGATTTCGGTATAACACAGACAAGACAAGCTGAGCTGCCGACCCTCCACTCAGTGTCTGTCTCATTCTCTTGTCGCCGACTCCACACCTCCTCTCAGGATCTGAACCCGCTGGAGCTGGACTCTGGGAGAGCAGGAAAAGATAAATTATTACTGTAAGTTAATAAATTTAGATGGTAAGAACATATATGCAGTGACTGAATTTATGTTTTTTATGAATATAATTACTTTCTATTATTCCAATTGCAATAGCAGTATATTGAGACATACTGGCAATTTTCAGAAACACAAAAGTGATCATCTTCTTTGTATTACTTTTTCTTTAGGTGTAACATTCAAGTTCATAATGATTCTCTGCTTATAAGCTAACAGTCTCCAATTCGTGCATAGATGGATCAAACTTTTGGTCCTATTATAACTTTAAATGAGCTAGAGCTTAGGGCTGCATTTAGCAAAATGTGCAATTAAAAAAGCATTACTTCAGCACTACCTTAAAAATTCAGATTATTAAAGAGGATGTTGTTTTCTAAGCTGCTAATTTAATGAAATGGTTAACATATATATCAGAGATTGGAAATTCCTAAGGGTTTTTTTTTAAAGTTCTTTTGAGACAGGGTCTCACTATGAAATTTAGGCTGAACTTGAACTCACTATGTAGCTCAGGCTGGCCTCAAACTCATATGATGATCCTCCTGCCTCAGCCTCCCAAGTGCTAGGATTACAGGCATGCACCACCATGCCCAGCCCTTAGGGTACTGTACCTTATACATAGCAAATGCCTTCAAATATTAGCTGACTAGATTGGTGATACAAGTTTTCCCCTTTTGCTATTCCAACTCCAGTTGGTTTATTTTGAAGATAATATTTCAATACTTCAATTGTAGAAGAAAAGTACACAATTTTCTCTATACAGAGAATAGCAAACAAAATTACCAATTAAGAAACCATTTCAGGAATTGTTGGAAGGTGAGTTATTCTATAGTAACTATGCTTCAGTTGCCATGCAGTATGCCCAGAAACAATCCGCTTCAACTTCTGAACATTTGGTTTGGAACACTTGTTTGATGAATATTCAGTTAAACACTTGGATACAAGCTCTTGCCAGAAAGTCAGATCTCTGCCATTTATCTTGAAATGTTTCTGAAGACTTTTTACTCCTTCTGTTAACTCTACATACTTCTGTGCTTGGGTCTCCAATGCAATGATAGGTAAGGCCAACACAGAAGGCTTTGCTTTAGAAAATATGATCCTGCAGTGACATGCCTTAAGCTGAGCTTCGAGTCTTTCAAAATTTAGGCTCATTTTCCTTTCAAATGGCAAGCTCTCCTGAATGAGAGAATAATAGAGTTGTAGAAATTGAAAGGCAGTGGTAGCTTTGACTTTTCAACACACCTTCTCCAATACAATCTTTTCCATACCCATCAAGTCTGAAACCATGAACTGATACTGACTTATTTGGAACAAGTCAGTTGCCAATGGGACATTTCTTTCCTCTTCTATTGATTTTACAGCCAAATAAAAGCAGCTGAGCACAACACACCCAAGGTGCTTGGGCTGTACCTTCATTTTAGACAGGAATCTGTCCAGTAAATTCACAGCTAGAGAAAGTGTCTTTGTATCAAAGCCAAAGAACTGATTAGACTAAGATCTTTCACCTGAAAGTCCCTCAGTCTTGCAGTCATTCTAAGGCCATCATCATGTGCAGATTCAATTAGTCTCAAGCTGCAGACCTTTGGCTGACATCTAGCCTTCTGTTCCAACAGAGTATTCAGCTGGTGTAGCAGTTTCTCAGAATTAGTTTTTGTCAGGACTTCTATCATCTTGTTAGAGACTGAGGCTCCTCAGTGTGATCACCCTCCCTGGGCTTGCTTTCACCTCACCCCACAGTATCAGATATAAGAGGCCTAGGAGATGAGAACACTTGAGGGCAGGAGGGGAGACACCCAGGGAGGGAGAACTGTCCTGGGTGGAAGTCTCCAGAGAGCCACCAAGACTGCACCACCCTCCTCCTGGAGGTAGGCACACCACACATGGTATAGAGAAATACTAAATTGTTCCTTAATACATTCCAAAAGAGTACAAGGTTGAGGTATGGGGCTCCCAATCTGAAATAAGAGAAACAAATATGGTGTCCCATAAGTCTCTGCTTGATACCTGTGCCCCTAGTGCATCCCCAGGGCTTCCCCCAAGGTTTATACCACTCCAGGGTGGGTAGCTACTGTCTGGAAAGAGTACCAGAAAATAAAACCAGACTGGACTATCTACCCTTTACCAGGGCTCAATCTTACCTTCCTCAGGTAACTCATATCCTTACTCCAGTAGGTACTCTTAAAGCACAAGTTACAATTGACTTCAGCCATAACAATCATGTTTAGAGAAGGAAGTACTGCTGCAAATCAAGAGATTTAAACCACTGCTTTCTAGTTCCTTGAAAGAGAGAAAGGAAAATAAGTTAACAGTCAAATTAGGGCACTTTTCCTGCAAAAGAGATCACCTCCAGAGATGGTAAATCAGAGATTTTGCCCTGGGCCCTAGGGTAGAGAAAGTTCTGAGAAATTTCTGTTGTCTATTGAGTCATTCAGACAACTTTTATTAGCAGCAATACAAAGCTACTCCTTTAGGGTCCACTTTAAATTCACTAAGTATTTGAAACTCATAGGTCCTCCTAGCAGCCACAATCTACATAGTAGATGTACTCTTATGGACTTCCTATGCATACATAAATGAAAAGAAAGGCTGGCTAAGATAGTCCCATATTCTAGTTAATGAGTAAAAACACAAATGCAAGTTATTGATTGCTATTTTCCCTAAGGTAAGACAAAACAGTTGTTGCAAGCTGCCTTAGTCTAACTTTCTGGAAGGAGGAGTGGTTTGACTACAAGGTATTTTTCAAATGAACTCCCAAAAAGTTGGAGAAAAGTTTAAGTGGAGTTTTTAACTCACTAGCAGAGAGAAAAAACCCAAATAAAGCTCAAGCTGGTTAAAAATCCCAAAAAATTATCATACAGCATTTTATAAGTCCACAGTCAACATTCCAAAGCCCATAACCTATCAGAAAAAGCATTTTTCTCCCCTACACACATAAATGATGAAGATCATGTCTAGGAGGGAGAAAAGGTTCAGGTATTTTTACTCTATCAAAGATTTTTTTTGTACATTTGTCTTGAGGTCTTACCAGTAGTAGAGTAAGCTGTCCAAACCTGTAGCTCAACTCTTAATGGAGGCTTAAGAAAGGGCTCTGATGGCATCTTTTCAGATCACTCTGAGGCAGAGGATATCTGATGATCACTGACAGAGTTCTTTCACCTCACTGAGGAGTCCAGCTAGAGACAAGGTGTGGAGATTTTCTGCTGATTACCTGGATGGGCTGTCTGGAGCTAGTTTCTTCTGAGGGACCTTTGGGTATTTGCCAAAGAGTAGCCCTGGCCTTGACCCCCCAATTGTCACCTCAGTTTCTGCTAGTTCCAGGCAATCAGAGGTCTGTCTCCAAAAGAAACTCAGTTGCCTATCTGGTCAGTATTCCATCCACCATTGGTGTCAATCAGAGTGGGGATTCACCAGAGGGCAACTGGAGAAACCTGTCCTCTGCTTTGAGAGTGGCAGCTGCCCTAAAGGCAATTACTAGCTGGCAAAGTAACCACTGTTTGGGATTTATAGGGGACAGATAAAATCCTGAAACAACTTTATCTGAGCCGATTTCATAAGAGACCCATTTTACAACATTGTAAAGCAACTAAATGCAAAGGCAACACATACAAAACAAGAATAAAATGTAATTTTAACAAAAGACAATGCATAAGAAAAACAAGAAATTTGCAAACATTTAAACCATAACTTAAAATTAAGACACTTTTGAAACAAAAGCCAAAACAAGGTCAGAATTTATATGAAACAAAAACAAGAATCTATGAAACAAATGTCCAGAGTCTATGAAACAAAAGTTACAATCTATGAAGCAAAAAGGCCAAAGTTAGAACCTATGAAACAAAACCAAACTCTTACCTCTGACCAGTAATCTAGGTGGAAGACCACCAAAATGATATAGGGGGAAAAGATATAACTCCCAAACCTGTTAGATATCTGAAATGTGAGTTCATGTTCTCTAAAATCAAAGAATGAATTCCAGGAACAATGGAGGTTAAAAGCAGGAAAAATTTATTGGGAGAAAGAAAGCTTCTGCCTAAGAGAGACAGAAGGAGGACCGGAAAATGGGTTGCCCTGGTCACTTTTATTTTTATAAAATGCACTTTGCGATTATTTTAAGGAGCCTCCTGCTCTGAATCTGCATAAATGTGCTAATAGAAGCAGCATAGAATCACAGATTAATGACATCATGTAGAATTATATTTTGTTTAAAGTACACTGGCTGTATACATTATGTGAATAGTGCACATGTATTGCCCACAATCCATTTTAGCTTCTGAAAGTGGAATTTGTTACATTTGTTTCAAAGGAAGCTGGACCTGCTAACTGGATCTAGAGATGGCTTGGGGTTGGCAGAGGGTTATGAAGACTGCAGAGTTGGGGCTGAGTAGCTCTTGCTCTCTGAAGTCTCCACCCAGTCCAGATGGTGACCAAGGCCTCAGGTGAGTGGCAGGATTTCAGAGCTTGAAGCCAAGAGTATTAAAAAAAAAGATCTGGGGCAAAATGGAAGCCAGAAGCCAGGAAGGTGACACCAATGGAGGTTGAACCACTTGTCCTGCGCTTGGGCCCAGGAAGCAGAGCCAGGCTACTCTGGGAGTGGAGAGAGAGCAACCCAGCAGCACACTGCAGCTCTGCATCCTTGTGCCCTGACCCAGGGGATCAGGGACAACATGACATCTGTGACCATTGGGTGCTGGAGACTTGGTGAGGGGGTTGTAGGGATATTCAGAGGGGTTTCCTCCCTTGTATGAGCTGTGGGGTTGTCCTGCTCTTCTTTTTCTAGAAGCTTGAGGTTCAGCATCAGGTTGTTTAATTGGGCTC